ATCAAAGCAATTGGACTTGCGGTTTTTAACAAGAAGTCAAAAATATCACTTTTTACCAACAAGAGTTGGCAGAGCCATCTCGATGCTGGGAAAATAATAGTTTTAAAGGTGTGTTTTGGAGCAATGGATTGGCGAACAGACAGAAAAGCAATTTCAAAGACTTTGACTTTGTTTTAATGAAAGTTTGAAGTATACATGAGAGTACGAATTATTTGTTTATTTTGGAAACTCAATTTTTAACTGAAGGAATTAAACTAAATTAAATAATCATGTTAGAAATGACTACTGTTCAACTCCGGACTAGTCGTTTAATTGTACTTAGCGTATGTTACTACGACAATCAACCAATTCGAGAAAAAACAGTTGACAATGACTAAATGCATGGTCACAGCCAAATTGCTGTTTAATTGAAATAAAAAAAAATCAAAGAAAAGAGAACTCTAAGACAGGAAGAGAAACACGAGCAATGTAGTCGAACAGGCATTAGGGCAACCATGTTTGTTTCACCACAATCAATACAGTATTACCCATGATGCACTATTCCCATAAGCGTGGGTATGTGGAAGTTCATAGCCAAGTGTACTGCGGTCAAGAACAAGGTAAAAAATTATGTGACGAGACCATCCCGATTTGCCGTCGATTTCCGGGTTTGGGTGCGTTTCATACAAGAAGATCGATACAAACTACACCGCCGAGTGTAGTAGACATAATTCTGATGACAATAGGAAGTTCGAAGGAAGATAACACAGTTGATTTATAACAGATGAAGTAAATGGAAATTACTTTTCAGTCCTCGTTGAGGCACAAATGTATTTAAATGAGAGACAATGGCAACTCCACGTTGTGGCAGATTTAATACACACTACTACAGTTCGACAAAAGTTTACAAACACCACGGTCAGTCACACAAAGTCCCCCAAATTCAAAAAGGATTTTTAAATGCACCGGGGAACACGAGACAAACTTAGATGCCGACTCCACACATCGTGAAAATGGCAATTTAAACTTTCCGGGGTAGATTTACATAATACTACAGTTCGATAACATGGCCAGTCACATAAAATCCATCAAAAGGGAGCTGCAAGTCGTATAATGCCAAAACAGTACCATGATTTCACAACTTTCGAAAAACGTTCGCTTTTATCGATGTCTACTGTTCAACAGTTTAATGTCTTCCCGCTCGCAAGAACACAAAGCCTAAACTATCAGAAATTCGTAACACATAATTTGAGTGACGGAATAACAAAATTACTCATCATTTGAAAATTCAATCCATCAAAAAAGTATAAAGAACATTTTTATAAACAATTTTTAATTATATAAATACACTTTGAAAAGAAACAAGATTTATAAACATAAATCTATTTAAATACATTCTC